GAACATCTATACCCAGACTTTGGTTTTTCCATTTTCCACTAAAAAAAGCAGTTCTAGGGCTCTTGAAAAAATGGTTTGCTTCCAGGTCTGGAGCAAGAAAACTACAGGGTAAGCCTGGGCATCACGTTATATTTAAGTTAAGGAAGTTATTCAAAGACTAAAGAGTCATGTCAAAGGATAAAGGAGCCAGCCACTAGTCAAATTTGAGACAATTATGGCATCAAAAGGAATACTCAGGTACTTAATTATTACACATAGAATAAAAAATGATGTCAGGTAAAAAATATAGAAGAAATGTTACAATTTTTTTTAAAAGTTATCCTTTTTGGTAGCCCCCAATGTAATAAATGATACAGGTAAGGATAGTGGATGCTAAGAACAGTGGGTAAAGTTGGTGGGCCATTCATAGGGTCTCAAACTATCATCCTACAGATCAAGTGCTAATTATAAAGAGGAAAATAAACCTTAACAATGGAGTGATCCGGCTATCACCACCTCAGCCAAGTGATAACATTTAGCATCACCAATAGTGGGACAACCTGATATTATAAGCCTTATGACGTGATGTAATGAGACGTTTGCAACATCTTCTATGTAAGGTTTTCGATAAAACTATTTACCTTGAATGTAATCATAAGGAAACAATCAGATAAATTAAGAACATGGGAAATTCTACAAAACAGCCACCTCAGTCTTCAAAAAAGTCAACATCACGAAAAAACAAAGAAACAAACAGGTGGGCATACTGTTCTAGATAGAAGAAACGTTAATCACATGAACCTTGATTGGATACCGGATGATAAAAGTTAAACAAATACTATAAAACACATTTTGAGGACAATCGGAGAAATTTAAATACAGGCTAAATATCATCTATTACTGAATTACTAGTGACATTCCGAGGTGTGACAATGGTATGATGGTTACAAAGGAGAACATCACTTTTAGGAGATACATGTGGAAATGTTTAGGAGTGAAATGTCAAGATATCTGCACTTACTTTCAAATGGTTCAGCAAATATGGAGCACAAGTGGCAAGATGATAACAATTGGTAAAAATAAATGAAGTACATGGATATTCATTATACTGTTCTTTTAAGTTATCTGTAGATTTGGAATTTTCAAAATAAAAACTTTGGGGGAAAAAATCTCAGTTCAGATGTCATATCTTCTCAGAAAGCTTTTCTGACTTTTCTAGCGGAATTATTTTTTTCTATTCTCAGTATTCCCACAGGACTCTCCATACTTCTACTTTAGCACTTAAGAGGTCTGACCCTTCCCTAAACTTCACGGGACAGCCTCTTTCATTCCCAGAACTTAGCTCTTTATCTGGCACCTATTAGGTATTCAGTCTTTGTTTTATGAATGAGATAACTGCTATGCCAAAGTGACGGGCCAAATCTGAAATCCAGGTATTGTCTGTATCACATGGTGCCTCAGATTTAATCAAATCCATCAATCAGGAAGCCTAGTAAACATTCCCATGTGAGCTGTACCATTATAAGAGACACCCATAGCAGCATTCAAATTGATTTTAAAACAGCATAACAACCCTCAAGCAGCCTCATCCTTAAGTCACTATAGGCATATTTTCATTTTAAATTCTTTTATAGTTTCAACTCAAGGAAATGAAAGAAGATGCATACCTGTTCTATATCCTTGGAACTGGAGGTCTGGTTTTCTCCCATGACTCCAGGCTGCTCATTTTCCCATGGTAGTTTACTTTTTCCTTTCCCTGCACTTAATACCCTTCGGGTACAGATAGTTGGACTGTAAGATCCATAAATTTGCATGCTCTCCCTCGTGTGGTCACCGCAGTGACAGTGTGCACTCTGAGTTCTGTTACCAGCCAAAAGCCAGTCTGTATCTGCTCCATGTGCCAAATGGCTTGACCTGCCCTGGGCAGATGATGGCATGAGTATTGCATATTCCACAAATCCCTGTTCTGTTAACCGTGGGAGGGTTTTCCTAGCCAGTCTGGCCTGCACGGCATTCATCACTCCATCTCCATTATCTTGCAGTTCAACAGTATCCACAGCTTTGAAAAGGATGCTGGTTTTACCTGAGCCCATTGATGACGCCAACACAGCAAAGGCTTCGAGAGCTGCTTGGCGTACCCTGCGTTTGCTGTCTACAAGAGCTGGGGCAAGATCAAAAGACAGTTTGGGTAAGTCAAAATCCTCACTGGGATAGGTCAGGAGGGAGCAGATGCAAATGTTCACCACCTCCTCTCTCACTCTAGAATGCTTATGTTTGAGGTGGTCCAGGAGTAAACAAAGCACCTGTTGAGGACCTACTTCCTTCATTAGCTTGAGGAAGATTTTCATGTACTCTTGTTTGATCACCAACTTGTTGTCTGCCAGCACTTTGACAGAAGCTGCTATAACTGGTCCCAAGAACTGTTGTACCTGCTCTCCGAGGCGAATAACCAGTAAATGAAGGACCTGAAGTGTGCCATGGACTACTTTGAAGTTAGAATCGTCTAACAAATTATACAGCAAGCTAATGAAACCGACGAGACTAGAATGAGGGGTGGAACTAGGGTTAAATCGCCCCATCACCTGCTTCAATTCCTCAACGGCCTGAGTCCGGCTCTTATAGTCTTCCTGATCCAACAATCTTGAGTGCAGCTCCTGAGGAATAATCCCAAACTTAAGATTGCTGTTGGAAAGAGTCACTGCAGAGGGAAGGGGATCTTCAGGAAATCCAGAGGCTTCAAGTTCCAGATAATAAGGAACCTGACTTCCAAATTGGGACTCCAGGCGGCGGTTGTAGTGTCTCCTCAGCGCAGACGGCAGGCGAGAGATATAGGATTGAAACCTCTCTTGGCCAAGTCGCTCCCCAATTTGCTGAAGGGCAGAGAAAGCTGTCTCAGATTCTTCCTCTAGCTCCTGATCGCCAAGCTTTCGGGCCAGGGCTATTATCACCTCGGTAAGATCCAGGCCGAGCAACAAATCCTCAGGAGTAAGCAAGACAGGAAACAGCAGCGCGGTGGAAGCCCTCAGCCGGGCATCGGGGCTTTCCAGTCCCCGCTGTATGAGCGTTCTCAGCACCTGCCCAGAACTACGTTTCAGACATATGTGTAGGATCTGCAGCGCATCCTTCCGCAGGGCTGGATTCTCTTCCCGTAAGGAGACAACCAGTTGAGGCAGAAGTGCTAAGCTAAAGGCCTCTTCCAGCTGGCCCGCCTCCCCCTGACCGCGGAGCACGTCCGAGAGGAGCTGCAGGCAGAGCCGCTTCTCATCACCGCCTCCTTCCACGAGCACTCGGCCCAGGGCCCGATACAAGGCTTCCTTCCGCCGGGGGAAGCCCAGCCGGCCGCCCCGCCGCGGCAAAGCAGCCTGCAAAGCCTGGAAGGCCTCGGAAGGGTCCGGCGCGGCCCGGAGAAGCTGAAGGAGCCGAGTCTCCTCTTCGTCTCCCCCTGACGAACCCCCTCCAGACCCAGACCAACTGCTTGAGATGGTCTCCGCGGGCATCAACAGGGTCGACGCCAGAGGCGAGGGCGTCGGGGGGCAGGAGCCGTGGTCCCCTGCAGCCCCACGGCAGCAGTAGCTTTTCTCGCCTCTCATGGTGCCCCCACCTCGACTGTCATCAGTCTCTGGGGCGGAAGGTCGACTGCGGCTCTCGAGGCGACAGGCACGGAGGGCTGGCAGGGGAGGCAGCAGGAGCAGCGCGGAGCGCGCAGCCGCCATGGAGGGTCGTCAGGTGGCAGAGGCTGGAGGAAACCATCGTCTCCCAAGGGCTCGATGAGCCCAGCCTTCCCGTTCCTCTCCAAGCCCCTAGTGCAGAGGAGGAAAAGGAGCACCCCCAGCCAGCTGCCAGGCCGTCCCCGACTCCGCGAGGCTGCCTTCGGCAAAATGGCCCCCGCTTGGGCCCCAGACCCCGCAGCTGCCGCCAGGCGTAACTAGGGGCACCACGTGACCAAACCGATCGCTTCCATGGAGATGGACCCAGCGCCGACCCCTTGACCCGGAAATCAACCTGCGGTGGTGCACGCTGGGTCGTGTAGTCCACGTCAGGTGTTGAGAGTAGGCTGAAGGCTCCTGGAAGAGGAAGTGAGAACGTAGCGAACGTAGCTAGCGCATCTGGCGCGGAGCGGGCGAGGAAAGGTGAGGGCATCGGCCGGAAGTGACGCGCTGCCCGCTCAGGGCGGAAGTTCCCCGCCCCAGCTGTAAGAATTGGGGTTTGGCTAGAGGCGAGCGAGGATCCCGGCCGGGCTCCAGTTGTCCACGGCTCCTCCTCCTGTCGCGGCCGGCGTGCTTCCCGGGACTCAGGTATTTTCCTTTTGCTGTGGTCCTGCGGCGCCGGCTTTGCAGAGCTGTGGCTGCGTGCCGCTGGAGGGAGAGGTCCAGAGATGCCCGGGAGCGGGCGGGGAGAGCGGCGACATCTTCTTGTGCAGGGCTCGGTATAGCGGCGGACGCGGCGCTTCGCAGCCCTGAGCGAGTGCGGTCCTCCGCCTGCCGTCCGCCGACCGGGCACGAGGTCTCACCGAGGCCGAGCTCGGGGCTCGGGTACTTTCTTTCAAATTCTGGTCTTTGGGGCCCTTCCTCTCCCCGCCGTCCCTCTACCCCCTTTTCCTACTTCGCTTACCTCTGGCCGTGGAGGGTTAATGGTTTTCTGTCATTTTTCCTTGCCCTCATCTCTTTAAGTCCTCTCTGAAAACGCACTTAATCTGGAGATGCGTGCTTTCCCCCGGAGGCGAGCGCCTCTCCCTTGCGCGTTTTGTCTCCTGATGCGGTTCCCGCTGGGACTCGCCCCTGCCCCCTCCGCGCCCTCCGCCGCCCCGGCCTCCCCGCAGGATCCTCGCGCGGCTCTGCAGCCTTCCAGTCTCCTGGAAACGGAGACTGCAAACACGATTTCAGTTGCGGCGCCAGTTCTTGGCATCACGGTCCTAAGAGTATTCTGCCCTGTAGATTTCGGGCTGATAAATAGACATTTCTTTGTCTTGGGCCAACTGTGAATTTGGTGAGCGTTTTCTCCTTGTAAATGAAACTTGAGCGGACTCAATTGAAGAACTGGAGTGTCTGGTGTGAGGTTGGATGTTTTGGAGTTGGCAGAGAATTTTTTTTTAATGGAGTAACAGTTACTTTTGGATGACCCAGTGAGAAGTCTGAGTTATCATTTCAAGTCTCCAGTTTATGCACTTTAAATGCGAGTGTTCCTACCCTACTCTGTACCACATGGGATGTCTTAGAATAATTGAGTCACATATGTCAAACCACTTTATAAATAATGTTACTGGATAATGCAAGCTCAAAACTAATGTCTGGATGTTGTCTTAAAGCACAATTTGAATATCAGGGGTTTTTTTTTCTTTCTTTTGCAAGTAGAGTAAATGTAAACGGAGCTTATGTAAACATGCATTCTTATGTTTTGGTTTAAGTTCTAGGTTGTTACTTTCATTTTGATTAGTCATTTTGGTGTTTAAATGAACCTGCCTAAATTTAGTTTGGCTATTTTTCACTAGACCAAAAAAAAAAACAAACCACTTTTTCACTTTTTATTTCGGGAGCAGAGTAAGGGCAGGGAGTGAAAACCAAGAGATGATTGTAGGAGTTGTCAATGAGAAGGAATGTGTGATTTCCAATGAAAGAAGCTCAAATTTATACTTTTTCTCGTGCGCTCAGACTTCAGCATCCCAATTCAAACTAAACTAAATAAGAGAATGATGTACACATTAGAATGTACACATTAGAATGCCAGTTTATGTTGAAATAAAAGATATCCCTTTCCAGTGATCAGAATTTTCAGGTTGAAAATCCAGTGCACTCTTTGTATCCAAGAACTGGGGAAGCCAGGTTAATAAGGAGAGGTTGTGTGGGGATCATGGAGTCAAGAAAGGGAACCTGGAAAGTTTTGAGTGATCTTTCATCATCAAAGTTATGGTAGAAGCTTAAGAATTACCCCTTCTCTCTAGAGCGAATACTTTTGAAGGGGCTAGGATACTGAAACCAACCAGTTATCATGTTCTTTTCCTTGGAATAAAGCAATGTGAGTCTTCATTTTGGCTCCTTTTCTCGGTCCTGTAGATCACTATGTTATAGATTGCAACTTATTTTATATCTGTTACATTTAATTTCCTTGATGAAGACTTGGAAGATAGATTAGTCTCTATGGTCGATGTTTAGAAAATAGGACTTTATCAGCATCGCACATCTTACTATTTATCTTTTAGGGTTATTTGTGAAAGATAAATCTTGCATATACTTTTAATGTGTATTCTGCTTATTTCCTTTACAAAGCAGGTTTTTAAAAAATCTTGGAATCCAGGGAATTCTGGGAATTGTGTATTGACTAGTAAAGCCTTTTGACAACAAACACATAGATACTGCGAACAGATTGTTTGTTACCAGAAGGGAAAGGGGAAGGGTGAAATGGGTAAAGGGGAACATGTGTATGGTGACGGATGGTAATTAGACTTTGGTGGTGACACAATATAGTCTATACGGAAGTCAAAGTATAATAATGCACGTCTGAAATTTATATAATGTTATAAACCAATGTTACCTCAAAAAAATTTTTTTGAAAGCCAACTGAAAAAAAGCCTTTTATATTTAATCATTGATAAAGGGAGGATAAAAGTATTTTAATCAAATTCCAAAATAGTGGAATACGTTGCTAGGTATATTGATAGTACATCTCTGAAAGTTGAACGGGGCTAATTAAGGATACGTTGGAAATAGCAAATTCAGGTAAAACAAGTTAAAAATATGTAGAAATAATTTCAAAAAAGTTTAGTTAAATTAATGGACTGCAGGAGTATTTGTAATACATACCTTGATTTTTTTTGAGCTGAACTTAAGCAAGATAAACCCAATTGACCCAAAAACATCCTTTATTTCCACAGAGCTAAGATACTAATTGATTGGATGAACTATTGTAGGGTTTCCCGTGTTCTTACTCAAATTTTACAGACATCCAGGAATATTGGGAATCGGTGTGAATTCAGTAAACTATTAAGAATTTCTATAGTTTGAGGGGCTGGCCCAGTGGCCCAGCGGTTAAGTGGGCACGTTCCGCTTCTCTGCGGCCCGGGGTTCGCCAGTTCGGATCCCAGGTGCGGACATGGCACCGCTTGGCACACCATGCTGTGGCAGGCATCCCACATATGAAGTAGAGGAAGATGGGCACGGATGTTAGCTCAGGGCCAGTCTTCCTCAGCAAAAAGAGGAGGATTAGCAGTAGTTAGCTCAGGGCTAATCTTCCTCAAAAAAAAAAAAAAAGAATTTGTATAGTTTGAGAGTTACTGTGAAGAAATGCTATGCCAATGAAGGTGCTATTAATATTAGCAAATAATTATACTACTACTACTATTTATTGAGTGTGTGCTGTGTGCCATACACTGTTTTAGGTACAGAATGAATATTAACTCATTTAATCCTCAACCATTTTTTGAGGTTACATCTTCTACGTTTGTGCTCTGGCACATTTTATGGATGTTTCCATTGGAAAGTAATTGGATAAAGAAGGAAAGTAAAATTCAAATTCATTAACTTAGCTGCTTAGAGCTTTGGGAAAATTTTATTGGGGGAGAGTGTTGAAACTACAGGATAAAATTAGATTTTTCATTATTAATCATTCATATCTTTTATTATGTATTATTTGATTATGTATCTTGATCTTTTTGGGGTTTCTGTTCTGAACCTTTTTAGTTTCTTGTTTCAGTCAAAACTTTAACATGGTGACGAAATTGTGAGCTTATTTTTATACATGTGGGATATGAACAGGTTTTCTTAAAGTATATCAGTGATATGTTTTCATTTACTTAGGTTTGTGTTCCTGAGCCATTGTGCATTTCTGAGTCAAAACTATAATTTTAAACAAAAATCCAGTTTTTGTTGCATTTTAAGCAGTAATCCGTATAAGTTAGCAGGATTTCACATCCATTGCAGTCAGTTTTTCAGTGGACGTGTTATTATATAACTGAGAGCTTTTACTGGCTGTAATAATGGCTTTGGGGACTTGCTTGCTTCTGTGTTATTTTTGAACCCATGATATGATTCGTATTCTAATAGCCTTCTAATTTTACTTTTGTTTCTCCAGATATAATGAAAGTTAATCTCAGTGAAAGGTTCTTCCATAGGCTCACTGAGAGAATTATATGCCATCCTTAGTTGAATTCTTCTGTGATGAGAGTTGAACTGTGGGAAAGAAAAATTTAGGAAAAGAGCTGATAGGATAAAATATTCTCCTCATTTCATAAATCACGCATTTTAGAGAAAAGTATACAAGTGTTTGGATTTTTTTAAAAACAGCCCTCCTTTCTGTTCACCATTTGCTCTCATTGTAGCAGATAATTGCCTCCCAGCTGATTTCAGCACCAGTGTTTTGTAGCTTAGGTGTCAATTAAGTAGTCCCTAAGCTCACAGCTTGACCTTTCGTAGCTTCGTTTAGGAACCTGAAATTGTGAAGCCGCTGCAGACTATGGAAAGTTTGATTTTATTTTAATTTTATTCTACATTATCTTTATATTGTGGATGTTTATGTAACAAATGAATGTGATTAGAAGTGAAATACAATACTATTTTCAAATGGATACCATTTATTCAATATTGACTAATCCAGTTACCTGGATTTAGAGTACTCCTGAGTGTTTGTTTTCTGGCACCAAAGTTAAAAACAAAGAGTATGGTAAGGATGTGGGAAAGAAGGATCCACCCTGCTAGCATGTAAATAACAGAAGGGAGTGCTTGTTCCGTGGATCCCTGTCTATGTTGTTTTGAAGCCCTGATCAGCTGTTGTATCTGACCCACATAGTGTGTGTATATATCTTATATATGTGTATATGCATGTGATCTATCCTATTTGGGTTTCTCTTCTGCACCTTTTTAGTTTCTTGTTTAAGTTAAAACTTTAATAAGATTAAGAAATTATGAGCTTATAAGTGAGGCAGTATAAATTAGTATTTAAGAACTCAGGAGAAAGAGTGCCAAGGTTTAAATCTTGCTTTGGGCTTAATTTTTCTGTGCCTCAGATTTCTGCATCTGTGCAGTATGCAGAAGAATAATAACAGTCTCTATCTCAAGGTGTTACTCTGCTGATGAAGGGAGTTAACACATGTAAAAAGCTTAGAACAGTAACTGGTGCATTATGACAACCAAACAAAGGTGTTTTGGATGCTCTTTATAGAATAATTTAGTCTTGTTGGGAGTGGCAGCAATTATAAATTGGTTCAGTAAATATTTTAAGCTGGTCAACACTGTTCAGCATTCTAATTTTTTGAGTGTATTGTGTAGAGAACATTGTTCTAAGATTAAGAAAACATCGTCCCAGTAATGTCTCTTACTAATTGTGTGATTTTGTTAATTTATTTAAACTCTCTGAACTTCAGATTCCTCATCTGGCAGTCTTATGCCAAGTTTAGTGCCTCATCTATATATTCTTTTTTTTTCTATGCTAAATTTCATAAACGTTCAAAAGTAGAACAATATGAAGAACCCTCATGTCCGTATTACCCGGCTTCAATAGGTACCATCTCATGACATCATCTTCGTCTCCATCAACCCCTCATCCTCTATTAGTTTGAAGCAAATCTCTGACATCACGTTATTTTATCTATAAATATTTCAGTATATATTTGTAAAAGATAAAAACTCTTAAAAACATAACTACAATTTCACTGTTCAGCAACAAAAAATAACAGTGATTAGTTAACAGAATGCATAATCCAGTCAGTGTGCAAATTTCCAGTTGTCTCCTAAATGTCTCCTGTGTGTGTGTGTATGCATGTGTGCTCATGTGTCTCCATGGTTCACAGGTTGTATTTGGTTGATATGTCTCTTAAGTTTATTTATTTTTTTGAGGAACATTAGCCCTGAGCTAACATCTGCTGCCAATCCTCCTCTTTTTGCTGAGGAAGACTGGCCCTGAGCTAACATCTGTGCCCATCTTCCTCTACTTTATATGTGGGACGCCTACCACAGCATGGTGTGCCAAGCGGTGCCATGTCCACACCCGGGATCTGAACTGGCGAACCCTGGGCCACCAAAGTGGAATGTGTGAACTTAACTGCTGCCCCACCAGGCCGGCCCCTTCTTAAGTTTATTTTAATCTGTAGGTTCATTGTCTTACTTCTTTCCGTTTATTTGTTGAAGTATCTATGTATTTATTCTGTAAGATTTCTCACAGTCAAGATTTTTTGCTGATTGCATCCTTCTGTTGTAGTTTTATATGCTTTTTCTATTCTCTCTATTTCTTGTAATTTAATAGTTGGATCTGGACGTTGACTACATGTTTGATTTTAGTGTTTGGGGTGGGCAGGTGCAAGAATATTCATCGGTGGTGTTATCGTCTTCCGTCAGAGGGCCCTGCTGTCTACTTGTCTCTTCGTGATGTTAGCAGCACTTCATAATCAATGCCTACCTCCGTCAGTTCATTAAGATTGCAAAATGGTAATCTATCGTTCCTTCTTTATTTATTAACTGGGGTACTTTTATAAAGGGAAACTTTCCCTCATCTATTTGGTAACCCAGTGGTACACTTAGTATAGGGAAGGCACGATAAATGCTTGATTCTTACCCTTTATTTACTAGGTTTCAAATAATGAGTTACTTCATCAGCATCCTCCAGTGATGATCAAGTAGGACTTGTAAAAAATTCTAGGGGCCAGCTCCATGGCCAACTGGTTGAGTTTGTGTGCTCTGCTTTGGTGGCCCGGGGTTTCACCGGTTTGCATCCTGGGCGCGGACATGGCACCACTCATCAAGCCATGCTGAGGCGGCATCCCACATAGCACAACCAGAAGGACCCACAGCTAAAAATACACAACTGTGTACTGTGAGGGGCTTTGGGGAGAAGAAGGAAAAAACATTTTTAATTTAATTTTTTTGTGAACTCATGGATTTAAGCATATCTGCTGTGTTTTAATGAATTGCACTTATTATTACTGATGATGAGCTTGTCCTATCTTGGACAAGTAAGAGCCTCTTCAGTTTGACTCCTAAGTTTTTTATGACCTTAGTCATCAGTGATGGCTTACTTGCTACCTAGTATGTAAAGATTCTAAATTTATCTTGACGTTTTCTGCCCTAGGTCTGGAATCAGCCATTTGTCCAAGGAGTTCTGTTTCCTTGGAGGGAAATGATATTTTGGGACCACATCTGAGTGCCAAGAGTGCTTTTTGTTATGGGGTTGCTGATAATTTATAGCCCTTTTCAGTAGACAGAGCTAGGAAATATAATTTTTTTTTCCTTAAAATATTATTATATATTTTATACATTTGTGTATCCCTTATATGTATTTTACATGTTTTATACATAAATTATGTATTAGTATACAGTCATACATCACTTAACAACCTGGATGCATTCTAAGAAATGTGTCATTAGATGAGTTCGTTGTTGTGTGAACGTCAAGGAGTGTACTTTCACAAACCTAGATGGTATAGTCTACTATACACCTAGGATATATGGCACTAATCTTATGAGACCACCATCATATATTTGTTTGGTTGTTGACTGAAACGTCATTGTGTTGTGCGTGACTATATATAAATAATGTTGTTTCTATATATATTTCTTCTTCTTTTTTTTTAAGGTATGCTTTTTGGTGAGGAAGATTGGCCCTGAGCTAACATCTGTTGCCAATCTTGCTCTTTTTTTTCTCTCTCCCCAAAACCGCAGTACATAGTTTTATATTCTAGTTGCAGGTCCTTCTAATTCTTCTATGTGGGATGCTGCCACACCATGGCCTGATGAGCTGTGTGTATGTCTGCACCCAGGATCTGAACCGACAAACCCCTGGCCACCAAAGCGGAGTGCACAAACTTAACCAGTATGCCACCAGGCCAGCCCCTATATATTTATTCTGATACTTCTGATTCAAAATCACACTGCAAGGTTTATATTTAATGTCTTCGTCTTACTGAGAATCCCAGATCACAATGACCCTAGGGCTGATAGAATTACGAATGTCAGGTAATTATGCATTTGCAACAATGTGCATGTAACAGTTTCAGAATACGAATAACGTCTTTACTAACAACGTAATTACTGAAAATGTGTAAGGTTTTTTTTTGAGGGCATATCCCACTAGGGGTGGACCATCATATTACTGTTTTAAAGTTATTTGGAGTGGTATGGTTAGGCCACTAACTAGATGAACGTTGGGTTCCTTTGCTTCCCTTTATTTTCAAATTTCTTATGGGTTGTGTTTCTAAGATTTAGTTTTGCTTTATAATTGTGTAAGATACTTTCCTGGTTCTGTAGTCAAATTTACAAAACAGAATATGTTCAAAGATATCTTGCTTCTGTCTCTCTCCCCTCCATGTTTTTCCCTCCTCCTATAGGGAACCTCTTAAAAAATATATTATTTAATATTTCCTTTTTTTAAATATAAGTGCATGTGTCTATGTGTAACCTGCGCTTTCTTAGATAAACGATGACATGCTGTGCACACTTTCTCTTCTTGCTGGGATCGAGGACATCCCTGCAGAGTAGCATATACAGATTCCTCATTCCTTTTCACAGCTGCATAGCACTCCATTGTGAGGATGTGCCTGTTTTTTTCACCCGTTCTTTTTGGTGGGCATTAGAGTTGTTTTAAAATTTGTAATCAGTTTCTTCTTGGTCTCTCAAGTGTGAAAGTAAGAAGCATAAAGTATTATTCTTTTGCTTTTACAAATAAACCTGCAATTACTAGCCTTCTGCAATGTCTTCATATATTTTTTGCCAGTGTATTTTTTGGATAAATTCTTAGAAGTAGGATTGTTGGGTTGAAGGCTAAATGCAAATGTAATTTTGCTAGAATTTCCAGATTTACCTCCAGAGGTCTTACGTCATTGAACATCCCCACAACGACATGTGAGAGTGCCTGTTTCTCACAGCCTCACCAACGGAGTGTATTGTCAAGAAAGGACTGTTAGCTCCAGGTAGTTTTAATTTATTTGATTATAATCAAATGAGCAGTTTTTCCTTTAGTTAAGAACCATTTGCAATTTTTAGCCGTTTAGTCATTTCTTTAGCCTGTTTTTTCTTCAGGGCTAGAGTATTTTAGAAATGTTTTATATATTACTGATAATGTGTTTTTTATATATTGCAAATATTTTTCTCAATCTCATTTATATTTGTTCTTTGCTTATGATTTCTTTAGCTATTCAGAGTTTTTTAATGTCATCAGTTTGGTCTCTCTTTCCACTTAATTGCTTTTGGGTTTGTGTTGTAGTTCGGAAACTGTTCTCTAATCTCGGGTTATATAGGAATTCTCGTTTTATTCTAGTACTTGTATGATTTCATTTTTTACGTTTGTACCTCTGATCCATTAGGAATTTATTCTGATGCAGATATGTGGAAGGGACCTAATTTTATCTATTTTTATGTGGCTATTCAGTTTTCCCAGTGTGCTTATTTAGAAGTCCTTCTTTTCCTCACTGATTTTGAGATGCTGCCTTTATCATAAACTAAGTTTGCATGTGTTAAATTATCTATTTCTGTAGGGTTTTTTTAAAGATTGGCACCTGGGCTAACATCTGTTGCCGATCTTCTTTTCCTTCTTTCTTTCTTTCTTCTTCTCCCCAAAGCCCCCCAGTACATAGCTGTGTATTGTAGTAGTTGTGGTCCTTCTGGCTCTGCTATGTGGGATGCCAGCTCAGCGTGGCCTGATGAGCGGTGCCATGTCCGCGCCCAGGATCTAAACTGGGAAACCCTGGGCCGCTGAAGTGGAGCATGCCAACTTAACCACTAGGCCACGGGGCTGGGCCCTGTTTCTGTAGTTTCTATTCTCCGTTGGTTTGTTTCTCCAAACCAAACACTCAATTTAATCCACAACAAATTTTATAAATGAGAATGTTCAAGTTTAGAATCAGTAATTTGCCCAAAGTCCTACAGTTACTAAGTAGTTACATGTGGAGTAGAACCAGATCCCTCTGCTCTAAAACTCATACTTTACTTACTGTTCTTTCCTGTTTTCTGTGGCACTTGCCCTTCCTCTGCGCAGGGTTGTTACTGAGATAAATGAAACTGTCAGTGTAAAACTGACAAAGGTTAGGTTTTGAAAATTAGAAATTAGTGTTTATTTTTAGCCATTTATGTGTAAATAGCTGAGAACCAAGCAGTCACAGTTGTAATTCATAATTTTGAACAAGTTACAGTTAACATTTGCAGTAATTTTTAAGCAGTCACACTTGTGCTGGAACTATTTTAAGTGGCCTCAAGGATGGGCGTGCAGAAGAGTTGCCTGGAGGGCTTAGAGCACAGGTTGCTGCCCCGTCCCCTCTGTGTCGTTTCTAGTTCCTTAAATGTGTGGTTGGGCACAAGAGTTTGCTTTTGCAGGTCCCAGGTGATGCTGATGCTGTTGGCACAAGGATCCTATTTTGAGAACCATTGTTTTAAAGCTCTCTGTTTGAAAAAGTTAAAGTTCTGTGAATGTCTCTTAAGTCAGATTCCTTGAAGAGAGGAAAGGGGTCAAATTAAAGATTTTAAGAAGGGTTTTATGGCAAACCTCCAGTGTAATGCATTTTAAGTTCCTTATTTTTACCTTGCTCTTGCGAAGTTTTTAGTTGAATTTGGTTAAGCATTAAAAGTATATCTCTTTACTTAAACTTTATTCTCAGTAGTTCTTAAAGGAAATGAACACCATGTCATTTGTATGCAGTACAACGATAGATATGAATGGGTATTCTTTTATAAAGTCATTGTTACCCATATCCTTTCTTTGAGTGGTTTTTAAAACTTTGATAATTTTTATTATTTGGGGGGAAATAGGAAAGTGAGATAATGGAGAAATACTATAGAGGGTATTAGTGTAGGGGAACAGTTTCGTCCTTGCACCTGGTGACCTGGTGCATGTCCACAGAGGCAAAAGCTGGGACCGGGGACCACAGCTGACCTGAGTCTTGGAACACCTTGTGATTCTCCTGGAACATGGGAGGAAGGGAGGCCCTTAAGGAGCTGCACAAGGCCATCTCCCGTTTCCCTTTCTGTCACCCCAGGAGTCTGCCATGAGACAGTTCCCCTTCACCTCCCTGGTTGTGATGAGGCATGGGGCCTTCGGGTCCCCCTGCTTCACAGGAGAGACGGTTGCCTCATTGCAGGCTAGTTTGGGTCTTCACCACTTTGTGTTGCCCTCGTGCAGCCCCTTTTGTTTTGGTGTGTCAGACAAGGATCCAGGGAGCTTAGTCTTTGGCTTGCCCTTCTTTTCACTGTCTGTAAGTAAGAAACTGTCTAAATTTAAAAGCGGCTCGTTGTACCTTTTCTGGTCAGATTAGTCAGGCTTTGGCCTCACGCTGGTTCTATTTGTTCCTTTGACAGTAGATAAGCTTCATTCCTTTTTTGGTGAGCACAGAAGGAAGTCACATCGGTTTTGCTCACGAAAACCAAGTCTTTTTAAGGATAATAATGATGATGATAAATAGCATCTAACAGTTATTGAGTGCTTATGTGTACTGTTTTGTTTCTATTTTACAGATGAGAAAACTGAGACTTTAAGATCATTTCCCAAGGTCACATTGCTGTTAAATAGTACAGACAATATGGTAACCTTAAGAGCCTGATTCCAGAGCCCAGTCTCCTAAATTATACTGTCCTGCATATCTGGATATGTCTCGTATGTGTATGTATATTTAAAAATCATTATTGTATCATGCTTTCATATCATATATTAATGGTAATTTATCAGTCTGGAATTAGATACACAAAAATTAGTTTAATACAAAGATCTACTACTGTGATTCCTATTTATACTAAAAATGAATCTAATAACTCATTAAGTTGATTTGAGAATCAACAATTGTGCAATACTTTGTGTGGCCCAGGATGCGAGTGGTGTAAAGTGGATTTCTTACCTAGTAGTGAGAGATGATGCAACATAGAAAGCAGAATACCTCTTTTTTTTTTTTTTTTTTAAAGATTGGCACCTGAGCTAACAACTGTTGCAAATCTTTTTTTGCTTTTTCTTTCTGCTTTTTCTCCCCAAGTCCCCAGTATATAGTTGTATATTTTAGTTGTGGGTCCTTCTAGTTGTAGTACATGGGACGCCACCTCAACGTGGTCCGATGAGTGGTGCCACATCCGCGCCCAGGACCTGAACCGGAGAAACCCTGGGCCGCTGCGGCGGAGCACGCGAACTTACCCACTCGGCCTCGGGGCCAGCCCCAGCGGAATACCTCTTAAGCAGACAACTTAAAAAATTCACTAGTCATAGGGTAACTTACTGATAAATAGAATAATATTTATCGAGAGTTTACTAGGTGATAGGTACTGTTCTAAGTACTTTATATGTTTAAACTTACTTAATCCTCAAAACAACCCTCTATGATTGTTATTGAGTAACATTCACCTCTACCTTTTTCTCATCATAACCCTCAGATTTCCTTTTTTCCCCCAGACTCAACACCCTCAGTTCCCTTATCCATAAGACATGATTTGAATTTCTTCTCTTCATCAGGAGTTATACTTTGTGTTATACTTTTTAAAGGATGGTACTCAAAATCTATACTCCAAATGTGGTCTCACATTTGCAGAGCAAAGTGAGAATGTCTTCTCGTTAGTTGTCTATATTATGGTTCTATTAATGCAGCTTAAATCTATGTAAGTTTAGTATACTAAAGTAATACTAAAATTAAGATCCCTTAGTCCTTTAAACACACTCTACAGATGAGTCTTTTCTCTCTTATTCTGTACTTATATAGTTGTTTTGGAATCCAGTATAGAATCTTAACATTTACCTTTCTTAAGTTTCTTCTTGTTAGCTGTCAGGTCTTTTTGGATCCTTGTTTTGTTATCCAGTATTTTTGCTGTCCTTTGCAACTTCATGTCATCCGCAAAGCTAGAGGACATGCCCCAGTAACTTTATCTTGGCCTTATAGCATACCACCAGAAACCTCCCTCCAGGTAAACCACATTGCATTAAGTAGTATACTGGTGTGGTTGTTCAGTTGCTAATTTAGCTAACTGCACTAGCTTATGTTTAGTTTTGCTGTCAGGAAGTTCACAAAGGGATTGTAAAATTCTTTACAAATACCTAGTTAACTCACAATACATCAGGTGTATTTTCCTGATCTGGCAGTCTTCTAAACATCAAAAAAAGAAACAAAATTACTCTGTGACGTGTCTTGTTATCTCATCCATCCTAGTCTTAGAGATCACTACATCTTCTTCTAGCTATTCACAAATCAAACCTTTAATAATTTGTTTTATAATGTTATCTGAAGTTAACATTCACCTTACCAGAATGTAGAATTTACTGGCTTATTTATTTATTTATTCTTTTCCTGAGGAAGATTAGCCCTGAGCTAACATCTGCCACCAGTCCTCCTCCTTTTGCTGGAGGAAGACTGGTCCTGAGCTAACATCCGTGCCCATCTTCCTCTGCTTTTTTATATGTGGGACATCTGCCATAGCATGGTTTTACAAGCAGTGTGTAGGTCTGCACCTGGGATATGAACCGGCACACCTCAGGCCACTGAAGTGGAAAGTGCAAACTTAACCACTATGCCACTGGTCTCATTTTTGAAAACAGTCTCCAGCCTTGTGGTGCTGATGATGATTCAGGGATCTTATTTGCAGGTTCTTTTTTTTTTTTTTTTGACAGGGAAAAAAATGTTTAATTACATACTCAATCCATTTGGTGTATTTGAAAAGGTGCAATACTTTTCTTCATTTATCAGTGAAAGAAGTTAGAAATTAACTTCAAAAAAATCAGCAAATGGCAAACAAATTTCCTTGAAGGTCACAGTCACATATATAGTGCATCCTAGAAAAGAGGAGGGGCAAGACAGGTTCCACCCACTTTCATGAGTTTCATCAAATACTGGACCTACTCAAGGGTGGAGAGAAAAGGCAACTTTCAAAAAGGAGTATGTTATTAAATGAGGCATTTCCTATACTCCTTCCTAAGAGCACCAGGTGGGGAACACGTTTTCTAAACTAGATCTAGGAAGTGGAATGTGGAATCAATCCATCCTCCTCTCCTTAAGGGCTGTCCAATGGTTAATGAATTAAAAAAACATGACTAAATAAAAACAAACCCCACACACAATCCCCGCCCCCGCCAAAAAAAAAAAAAAAAGACAAAAACAAAAAACCTGGTTGTCCCAGCTTACTCTCCAGAGCAGAACCCGGGAGCAGCTTCAACAACCCAAATCAGTCTGTTACAGAGTCATCACAAGCATGCCTTGCTTTTAAACAGAAAAAAAAACTTTTTGAAACGACAAAACAAAAACTAGTACTGATCACTTTTCTGACAACACAATTACTCAAAATTAACTAGTACTGAGAGGGGGAAGGGGGCCATACCTATGGGCCTTGTCTCACATGAGTGCATGTGGGCAGGTGCAGGGCATTTGTCATTATTGCAAAAACGAATTTTAATTTTTAATCTTTAGTTTGATTTAAACATTGCTTTTAGTACGATGCCGACACCAGCTGTGCAGAACGGGCTCTGGAGAGACGTTCATAGCAGCACACACCTGCAGCTCTTCTTCGGTTCTGGAGGCTCCAGGGCAGCCAATATTGCTTCATCAAATACGTTCTTTAGGCCTTTCTGTGTGAGTGCAGAACACTCCACATACTTGACAGCCTTCAGGTCACAGGCCAGCTTTTCAGCAGTCTCTGGAGTGATGGGCTTCTGTTTGTTCTTGGCAAGTTTCTCAATAGTAGAGGGGTCATCTCTGAGATCAATTTGGGTCCCAACAAGCAAGAAAGGAGTCTTTGGACAGTGGTGAGTTATCTCAGGCACCCACTTTTCTTTCACATTTTCAAATGAGGATGGAGAGACCACTGAAAAACAGACTAGAAATACATCTGTTTGTGGATAACTCAGCGGTCGTAATCTGTCATAATCCTCTTGCCCTGCAGTATCAAAAAGTCCAAGAGTATATGGCTCTCCACCAATCATAACTGTGACTGCATAGTTGTCAAAAACAGTTGGTACATACTCAGATGGAAACTTATTTGTTGTGTAGGATATCAGGAGACATGTTTTACCAACAGCACCATCGCCCACAACAACACACTTAATTGTCTGCATTGCTGAAACAGTTTTGTATCCACTTTAAATATTTCAAATGCGATGATGACCTCAGCTTCTCCGCCGGGGCGTTGGCAGCACTCTTTGCAGGTTCTTTTAAAGACCTTGGAACATAATTGTTTAGTTTGGGAGAGATGTGAACATGTAGAGTAGCTAGGTCTCCTTTCTTTTTGCTGAGGAGCTTTGGCCCTGAGCTAACATCATTGCCAATCTTCCTCTTTTTCTGCTGAGGAAGATTTTCCCTGAGCTAACATCTGTGGCCAGTCTTCCTCTATTTTGTATGTGAACCGCCAACACAGCATGGCCACTGAGGAGTGGTGTATGTCTGCACCTAGGAACCATACCTGGGCCACTGAAGCAGAGCACACCAAACTTAACCACTAGGCCACCGGGGCTGGCCGTAGGTCTCCTTTTTTTATTTCATTTTTTTAAGACTATTTTTTTATAGCAGTATTTGGTTCACGGCAACATTAAGAGGAAAGTATAGAGGTTTGTCATGTATCATATATACCCTGCTCCAACACATGCATACTCTCCCCCATTATCAACACCTCCCCGACCAGAGTGGTACATTTGTTACAACTGAGGAACCTAGTTGACACATCATTAACACCCAAAGCCTGTAATTTACGTGAGAGTTGGTTCACTCTTGGTGTCGTACATTCTCTGGGTTTGGACAAATGTATGATGACAATATCTACCATTATAGTATCATGTAGAGTAATTTCACTGCCCTAAAAATCCTATGTGCTTCGCCTGTTCATCTGTCCCTTCCCTCTGACCCATGGAACCGTTGATCTCTTTACTGTCTCCATAGTTTTGCCTTTTCCAGAATGTCAAATAATTGGAATCATGCAGTATATAGCCTTTTCAGATTGGCTTCTTTTACTTGGTAATACGCATTTAAGTTTCCTCCATGTCTTTTCATGGCTTGATAGCCCATTTCTTTTTAGCCCTGATTAATATTCCATTGTCTTGATGTACCACAGTTTATTTGTCCTTTCCTCTGCTAAGGACATCTTGGTTGCTTCCAAATGTTGGCACTTATGAATAAAGCTGCTATAAACATCCATGTGCAGGTTTTTCTGTGGATGTAAGTTTTCATTTGGGTAAATACCAAGCAGGAGGATTGCTGGATTGTTATGGTAAGAGTATGTTTAGTTTTGTAAGAAACCGTGAGCGTCTTCTAAAGTGGCTGTATCCATTTGCATTCCCAGCAACCATGATTGAGAGTTCCTATTGCCCCACGTCCTCCCCAGCACTTGGTGTTCTCAGTGTTCTGGATTTTGACCATTCTAATAGGTGTGTAGTGGTGTATTGTCGTTTTAATATGCAATTCCCTAATATGGCATGATCTTGAACATCTTTTCATATGCTTGCTTGCCATCTGTATATCTTCTCTGGTGAGGTGTCTGTGAAGATCTTTTATCCATTTTTTAATCAAGTGGTTCATTTTCTGGTTGTAGAATTTTAAGAATTCTTTGTTTATTTTGAATAACAGTCCTTTATCAGATGTGACTTACAAGTATTTTCTTCCGGTTTGTGGCTTGTCTTCTCAATCTCTTGACATTGTCTTTCTCAGAGCAGAAATTTTTTATTTTAATGACATCTAGCTTATCAATTCTTTCTTTCATGGATTGTGCTTTTGGTGTCATACCTAAAACGTCGTTGCCATATCCAAGGTCATCTAGATTTTTCTTCTATGTTATCTTCTAGGTGTTTTTTAGTTTTGCATTTTGTATTTAGATCTGTGATCCATTTTGAGTTAATTTTTGTGAAGGATGTAAGGTCTGTGTCTAGATTCATTTTTTTACCGTGGATATCCAGTTATTCCAGCACCGTTTGTTGAAAAGACTGTCTTTTCTCCATTGTATTGCCTTTGCTGTTTTATTAAAGATCAGTTGACGATATTTATGTGGGTATTTCTAGGCTCTCTGAAGTCACACGCCACAAAATGACAATTTGGTCAATGACAGACTGCATATATCATGGTGGTGCCATAAGATTAGTACCAGATAACCTAGGTGTGTAGTAGGCTATACCATCTAGGTTTGTGTAAGTACACTCTGTGATGTTCACAGAATGGTTAAATCAATTATGACGTATTTCCCAGAACATATCCCTATTGTTAAGTGATGCATGACTGTATTTTGATCCTTTGGTCTGTTTGTTCTTTCACCAGTGCCACACTGTCTTGATTACTATAGCTTTATAATAATTCCTTAAGTTGGGTAGTGTCAGTTCTTCAACTTTGTTCTTCTTTTTCAATATTGGGTTGGCTATTCTGGGTCTTTTGCCTCTCCATATACAGTTTAGAGTCAGTTTGTGATATCTACAACATAACTTGCTACAATTTTTTTTTTTTTTTTAGGAAGATTAGCCCTGAGCTAACTTCTGCCAAGCCTCCTCTTTTTGCTGGGGAAGGCTGGCCCTGAGCTAACATCCATGCCCATCTTCCTTTACTTTATATGTTGGTTGCCTACCACAGCATGGCGTGCCAAGCAGTGCCATGTTGGCACCTGGGATCTGAAGCGGCGAACCCCGGGCCGCCAGAAGCGGAACGTACACACTTAACCGCTGCGCCACCAGGCCAGCCCCAACTTGCTGGAATTTTGATTGGGATTGTGTTGAATCTATAGTTCAAGGTGGGAGGAACTAACATCTTGATAATACTGAGTCTTCCTATCCATGAATATGGACTATCTCTCCATTTATTAAGTTAGTTTTTTTATTTCTTTCATTAGAATTTCATGGTTTTCCTCATATAGATCTTATACATATTTTGTTAGGTTTATATCTAAGTATTTCACTTTTTAGGTGTTAATGTAAATGGTAGCGTGTTTGTAATTTCAAATTCCACATGTTCATTGCTAGTATTGAGGAAAGTAATTGACTTTTGCATATTAACCTGTATCTTGCAACCTTACTGTAATTGCTTATTAGTTCCAGGAGTTTTTTTGTTGTTTCACGTTTTCTACATAGACAGTCATGTCATCTGCCGACAGTTTTATTTCTTCCTGTCCAGTCAGTATACCTTTTATTTCTCTTTCTTGTCTTATTGCATTCGTTGGATCTCCTTTTTCGATCCCTTCTCTTATTTTCTGTATCCATTCACCTTTCTTGTTTATTCTTCACTTTTTGGTCTGAATAACATTCTCCTTGTTAAATTAGATAAATGAGAGTTAAGAAGGGTATGTTTCATAAAACAGCACATATAATTAAATTAATTGCACATAAAGGAATTGAGTACTTAAATGTTTATAGACTTCCAGGTGAAGTTAATTTTGACCCAGGCTTTTGAGAATTTGGATGAAACGGAGATGAGAGAGGAGAAAGGTTCTAGACAAAATCTGGCATATGGTGAGAAGATATTTGTATAGAGCTATAGTAACTGCATGAGCTTTATTGGAGTGAAAGGTCATTGTGGGAAGAATGGGAGTTAGTGGGGATCATGGAAGAGGCAGTTTAATAAAATGAGACTAAAGTGCTGTATTCATAGCACTTAACTTGTGTAGAACTTTACACTTTACAAAAACATTTTCATGTAACCTTCTGGGATAGGTGAGAGATGCTCTTATTTTATGAATGAAAAAATTAATACTTAGATTAGTCACTGTACCAATTCCATATGGCAGTATGTAGCCCAGTTAGGACTGAAACTCATTGTCTTATGTTTCCAAGATGCATGTTCTCCGCTGATGCTGCTGCACCTCTGTTGCCTTGCCATAGTCCCCTAAGCTTGTAACTCACAGTTTGTCGTCTTTTCACGTGCGTTACCTGATTTCATCCTCAAAAACCTTGTGAGGTGTGTAGTTCATGTATTGTTATGATCTCGTTTTATAAATAAGGAAAATGAAGATGAGAGAAGGTAAAGTTAACTAGATGTCAAGTAGCTAGGACTGCTTTCTTAATCCCATCACTTATTCTCTATATCTACTTTGCTTTTCTTTTGTTCATTTTTCGCTTTTCAGTCTGGAGATTAACTTTTCACATTAAACTGAGGCTAAAAGAAGTTAAATAGGTTAAAAAGGTCAACACTATAGTAAGTAAAATAACAGATCCAGATCTAAACCTCTGCCTTCTGGTTGCTGTCTTCTTACCAATATTCTGGTCTAGAATAAAATACCTACTGAAAGACCCAGAAGTTTTTTGAGGCTTGCTCATACCATGATTGAGAATTATTATGATAGATGTGTGTAGGATTATTTGGAGATCAAAGGTGGAGATTGGTGGTATCAGATGTAAGGTGGTCATGTCAACATAATTTGTTAACTGGCTTAAAATTCACTTGAAACGAGTGTGAAATTATGAAGTTCTTGACAAAGATAAAAGTTTCAATATTTGGGTATGTTCACTTAAAAATGCACAGGAATGGAATGCAATTCTCTCCTAGTCCTTCCAGTATTTACATTATTCAGTAGTGTTTGGGATGTTTGAATTTATTTAATACTACTTTAAAAATAGGAGCCAAATTCTCTACTTTTTTGTTATCCCCGTATCTTGTATTTGACGTGTGAATGAGACAGGAAGGAAACAGTTCATGCTGTGTAGATATTTTCTGTTCCTTTCATCTGTTCTAAGTAGCTGCTACGATCCATTCGGAAGTATCCGTATATTAATTTATTATATAATTAATATAACTGCTGTAACAAATTACCACAAACTCAGTTACTTGAAACAACAGAAATTTATTCTCTCACAGCTCTGGAGGCCGAGAGTCTGAAGTTAGTGTCACTGGGCTGAAACTAAGCTGTTGGCAGGGCCGTGTCCCTCTGCAGGCTCTCTGTGGTCACATTACCTTCTCATCTGTCTGTGTCACATCTCCTTCTGCCTTCTCCTTATAAGGTACATGTGATTGTGTTTAGGGCTCACCTGGATAATCCAGGATAATCTCCCTGTCTTAAAATCCTTCATCCTATCTGCAAAGTCTTTTTTTTTTTTTTTTTTTTTGCCATATCGGGTAACATTTGGAGGTTTCAGGGGTTAGGATCTTAATATCTTTTTGGGGAGCTATTATTCAGCCTACCACAGTCCTTATTGCCCCCTCACTTTTTCTTCTTTTTTTCTTTTTCATCTCTTTTTTCTCCTATTTTTATTCTTTTTCATCTTCCAGAAGCACAAAGTGGCAAGTAGATTGAGAGGATATGATCGGAAGTTAGGATCAAGAGTTGAGTAGATATGGTCTAGAGCGGTGAGTGAGCCTCGTTACCCTCACTGTAGAACATCAGATTGGGTTCACATTAACTTTTTCTTGTCGTTGAATTGGTTGACAGTAATGGTACCTTTGTTAAGTTCAGCACCCTTTATCAAAGTAATTAGTGAATCTTTGGGTAAAGTATGTGAGTTAACATGGAATTTCTTTCCAATTGAAGCATCTATTGATTAGATTGGCAGGCACTGATATTGAGAAAATAGCCAAATAGCTACTAGCATTGTTTCAAAACTAATTTTCCTTTGAGCAAGTATTTTTTTTTATATTTGCATTTTGTTTAAGTGATAGCTCAGACTTGAATTCTTGTTTTAAAGATTAGCACCTGAGCTAACATCTGTTGCCAATCTTCTTTTTTTTTTTTCCTTCTTCTCTCCAAAGCCCCCCAGTACCTAGTTGTATATTCTACTTGTAGGTCCTTCTGGCTCTACTGTGTGTGATGCTGCCTCAGCATGGCTTGATGAGTGGTGCTAGGTCTGTGCCCAGGCAAAACCTTGGGCTGCCAAAGCGGAGTGTGTGAACTTAACCACTCAGCCACAGGGCTGGCCCCTCAAACTTGAATTCAATGAAGGGAACCAGAAGAGTTCGTAGAAATCTGATCCGAAAGTCCATTGTCAAGAGTCCTTTGTGGTTTGGGGCATATTACATAACCTTTGGGGCTCTGTTTCCTAACATCTATAATAAAGGAGTTGAATTATATGATTGTTAACATCCCTTCTTAATTCTAAAAGCCTTTCTCTAGTATTTAGTGTGTAAAAACCAACAAACAGGCAGATAAACAACAAATCTCATTTATTTTGTATTATTTGAAATAGGCATCATATTGGCAAGATTATTTTTAAATAACTGCTCGTGCTTTTTGTTTTTCTGTAGATGGACCACACATCCCCGACCTACATGCTTGCTAACTTAACCCACTTACACTCTGAACAGCTTCTGCAGGGCTTGAATCTCCTTCGTCAGCACCACGAACTCTGTGACATCATTCTTCGAGTAGGTGATGTTAAAATCCATGCTCACAAAGTGGTACTTGCCAGCATCAGCCCGTATTTCAAAGCTATGTTCACCGGAAACCTTTCTGAGAAAGAGAACAGTGAGGTTGAGTTTCAGTGCATCGATGAAACTGCTCTCCAGGCCATCGTGGAATATGCCTATACAGGGACTGTTTTTATTTCACAGGACACAGTTGAATCTCTCCTTCCAGCAGCAAACCTACTCCAGATAAAACTTGTCCTGAAAGAGTGTTGTGCATTTCTTGAAAGTCAACTTGACCCTGGCAATTGTATTGGAATTTCTCGTTTTGCAGAGACATATGGCTGTCATGACCTTTATCTGGCAGCCACTAAGTACATATGCCAAAATTTTGAAGCTGTTTGCCAGACTGAAGAGTTTTTTGAGCTCACACATGCTGATTTGGATGAAATTGTTTCCAATGACTGTTTAAACGTAGCTACTGAAGAGACTGTTTTTTATGCACTTGAGTCTTGGATCAAGTATGATGTACAAGAACGCCAGAAGTACTTAGCACAGCTGCTTAACAGTGTGCGGTTACCATTGCTGAGCGTTAAGTTTCTCACTAGACTGTATGAAGCAAATCATCTTATTCGTGATGATCGCACTTGTAAACATCTTTTGAATGAAGCCCTGAAGTACCACTTTATGCCTGAACACAGGCTCTCTCATCAGACTGTCTTGATGACACGACCTCGCTGTGCTCCCAAAGTACTTTGTGCCGTAGGAGGAAAATCTGGACTGTTTGCCTGTTTGGATAGGTAAATAGAAAGCTTTCTTAAATGATTGATGCTAATAGATTTTATACTTTTTAAATGTGCTAATTTTCTATGTTTTCTAAATAGTTGGTTTTCCTGTTTATTTGCTTTTTGTTTTTTCTCTTCTTCGTAAAATGCTATCTGGTTGTTTTAATCGCATTGTCATCCATTCTCTGCAATGCTCTCAATTATTAACATGCCTCCTTCCTCCCGTGCACAAACCTTATCCATCCTGGTTACTCACTAACTTCTCCATTTCATGTCTTTTTTTTCTTTTGTGAAACCATTTACATCTTTATTTGAGTCAGGCCAGGTCAGAGGGAATTTATTGTTTCCAGCTATATCAGAAGATGCTAAAGAAGAGAGCTAGGAATCTGTGATTAGGGCACACTGGGGACAAGAATGCATTTGAATAAATACAGTTAATTAGAAGAAACACCAAAGAAGTAAGGAAAAATAAGATGTTGATACAGTCATGGGCTTTATGTGCAATTTATTTTCTTCACTGTAGATATTTTTTATTTTACTTATTTATTTATTTATTTTGCTGAGGAAGATTCGCCCTAAGCTAACATCCATTACCAGTCTTCCTCTTTTTGTATGTGAGCTGCCACCACAGCATGGCCGCTGACAGATAAGCGATGTACGTCTGCATTTGGGAACTGAACCTGGGCTGCGAAAGCGGAACACACTGAACTTAACCACTAGGCCACTGGGGCAGGCCTGGTGTAAATATATTTTAATGACAGTAGTAAAAAAATGCTTTCTTTTCTAATAACTTAGAGTAGGAGTTGTCAGACTTTTTCTGTAAAGAGCCAAATAGTAAAAATTTTAGACTTTGTGGCCATATGGTCTCTGTCATAACTACTCAACTCTGCCATTGTAGTGCAAGAGCAGCCATAGACAGCACATAAACGAATGAACATGGTTGGGTTCCAATAAAACTTTATTTATAAAAGGAGCTAGTGGGGCTGAATTTGGCCTATAGCCGTAGTTTGCTAATCCTTGATTTAGAGCATTATACAAGTACCTTTATACACTGAAAATATAGCTGGATGTTACCTTTGCTTTTCCTTTTCCTGAAAGCTTTTGTGTTTGATATATTTCTTTAATACTGTGAATTTCTTTCTGGCCATTTCCACAAATTTGGTAGATTGCTTTTCTCCCTTCCAGTGGTAGGAAACTATTGATATTTTATCAATGTCAACCGATATGTTCTGTATCTTTTAAAAAGTCTCAGTGTACATCTTAATTGTAGTCTAAAACTAGTATTGTTAAGATTGGGCTACAGGTAGAACATTAGTTATGGTGACTGCATGAATTGATTGTTTACACTTACTCTTTTTCTTTTTTTTTTAAGATTGGCACCTGAGCTAACAACTATTGCCAATCTTTTTTTTTCCTCTGCTTTTTCTCCCCAAATTCCCCCAGTACATAGTTGTATATTTTAGTTGCGGGTCCTTCTAGTTGTGGCATGTGGGACGTCGCTTCAGCGTGGCCTGATGAGCAGTGCCATGTCTGCACCCAGGATCTGAACCAGTAAAACCCTGGGCCACCAAAGCGGAGCACGTGAACTTAACCACTCGGCCGCGAGGCAGGCCCTACTCTTATTCTTTTTTGGGAGGGGGGGGGTGGGGGAAGATTAGCCCTGAGCTAACTGCTGCCAATCCTCCTCTTTTTGCTGAGGAAGACTGGCCAAGTGGTGCCATGTCCGCACCCCAGATCTGAACTGGTGAACCCTCGGCTGCCGAGAAGTGGAATGTGTGCACTTAACCACTGTGCCACCAGGCCGGCCCTCCTACTCTTATTCTTAAAGGCATTGATTATTGGACTGAATTAAATCATGTTGGTCAAGTGTCATGGAAAAAAAATTCCAAACATGAAATTACGTTGTAAAAATTCTTGAGCAATTGCCTGTTTGTCTCAAATATTAAAAATAACAAACATAAACTATTGAAGAGTCATAAGAACTGTTCACATCTTTAGATTCAGTAATCTTTCATCTTAGAATCTATCGTAAGAAAAAAATGTCATTTCCACAGGGCCACTTATTGCAGTATTATTTATAACTGTGGAAAAATTGGAATCAATCTGAGTAATTATTCAGTTTAATTCTACAGAAAATATGAAACACTTGTGTATCAGACACTCTATGCTAGGTAATGGATCTTGAGGAAGTTCATAATTTGGTAAAGGAGACATGTTCAAGTAGATAATTATAATACCTAGTGTTAATGCAGGGATAAAGATAATTCTATGAAAGTACTAAGGAGAGGCATTTATCTCATTTTGGGGATTTAGGGAAGATATTGTGGAGAAGTTAATCTCCAAGCTGAGTATTGAAGGCTAAGCAAGAGCCAAGCGAAAAATGGTGGGTAGGTCACAGGAAGCGCTCAAAGACACGGTGGCATGACATGGTATAGGGTATGCACGAAAGCTTTTTGGTTTTCCACAGTGTGAAGTTCTAACCATCAAGAGGCAAGCAATGGTCTATATGGGCCAAGTCAAAGAAGGTACTGTGTGCAGTGATGAAAAGAGGATTTTTATTATGTGGGTTGAAAAACTATCTTAAGGAGAGTAGTGAAATGATCACATTTGTATCTTTGATCATTCTGGGCTGCATTATGGAGAAAGATGGAGGGGGCCAGGATTAGTATCCGAGTGATTAGAAGCTGCCTTGTTGGTGCAGTTGGCAAAGCATTAGTCTTACAATATGAAGGTCCTGAGTAACAGAGTGATTAGAAAAGAGGTTATTGTAAAGGTACAGGCAAGAGATTGTGAGGTCCTGAATTAGGGTAGAATTAGTAAAGATAGAGAATGGGGCCATTTATTTAAGAAGTGTTTTAAGAGAGCAAATTGACAGGATTTGGTTGAATGGATATGGGGGGATGATGAGAAGGAAAATCAGTGATATTTCCTGGTCAGATATTGGATGAATGGTTACATACCTAGAGAGAAAAATAGAGGAGGAGGAGCCATTTTAGGGGGAAAATAATGTGTTTAGTTTTGGACATACTGAGTTTGAAATACCTATTAAATATCCAAGAGAAAGATGTCCTACTGCTAGCTGGATATGATTGCAAAGCTCAAAGAAGAGATCAGGGCTGGAAATTTGGAAGTTATCAGTATAGTATAATTTAGAGATATAAATTTAAACCGTGAAGTCTTCTGGACTTCTTGACTCATTTAAAATGTTCCCTCCTTTCTGCTCAGTGAGAACATATAGAAAGCGAAAAAAAGGGTTGATTCATAAATGAACCTCTGGGGAACATTAATATTCAAGATGGGGGCAGCAGGAACAATCTTAGAGGTGGTAGAATCCAGAGAGAATAGTGTCCTGAAAGTCAAGGAATTTAAATGTGTCGAGAAGGAAGGAGTGTGATTAACAATGTAAAATGCAATGGAAAAGTCCATATAGATAAGGATGGAAAGGTGGCCGTTAGACTTGGCAATATGAAGCTCATTAATGACTTTTGGTGGAGTAATTTCAGCAGAGGTATAGGAATACTGTAGATGGATTACAGTGGGTTGAGAAGTGTGTGAAAACTGAGGAAACAGACTGTGTATACTATTGTTTTAAGAATCTTGACAGATGAGAAGGAGAGAGGTAAGGCAGAAACTGATAGAGTCAGGGGAAGTTCTTGTTTGTTTTTATTTTGTTCTTGAAGAGAGAGACGTGAGTATGTTTATTATCAGATGCCAGTAAAGGGGAGTAGAGTGAAGATACAGGATAGAGGAATTGATAGAGCAGGATGTTAGAGGAAATCAAAAGGGAATGGTATCAAAAGAGCAAGGCTGGAAGGTTTTGAATAAGAGGAAAAGGGATTCTTCATGCCCCAAGACCACAGTGTGAGGGCAGGTTTGCTGGAGGTGGCCACTGAGGCAGGGGTTTAATTAGATCCTGTCCAAGAACCTCAGTTTTTTCCTCTAGGTAGGAGAGGAGGTCTGCTAGAGAGGGAGGTGGGGATTGGGTAGGTGGAAACTATTAAGGAAACTTGGGAAGCTCTGAGAACACTATTGTTTCTGCTCACACACAGGAAGTCATCAGGATGGCAGTACACTGAAAGCGATTTTGAATAATTGTGCAAATACATTAAATGTTAAATGAACTTTAGCCACACCGCTCACCTCAGTGCTGTAGACTACAGATCTAATGCCAAGGCAGAAGCTCTCATTACAACTGATTATCCATTTGTCCTCAAAGACCATAAGGACTAACGCCTTTATATCTTGTATGTCTCTTTACTTGAATCATCTGCAGAAATCCATCACTCTAGAAAATGCCTTCTTATAACAGAACTCTTATTATCGTTGAGGTTTTTTTCTCACCCCGACCAATTCTCCAGTTCTCCTAGCTAGTTCTCCTAGCTAGATGTCCAGTCATTCAATTCACTCCTACACTTAGTATCGAGGTTAGCCCAGACCCCACAGATTAACTGCTCAATCCCACAAGACTGTTCCCACTTCATATGCTAGCCACAAATGGGGTGCCCAGGCTACCCACATTTCAGCCTTGGGGACTACAATTTCAGGGGTTCCCACAACACCCCTTCAGGTTCGGTAATTTGCTAGAACGACTCATAGAACTCAGGACAGTGCTTTCCTTACCACTACCAGTTTATTACAAAGGATACAATTCAGGAACAACCCAGTGGAAGAGATGCATCCAGCAAAGTATGGCGTAGGGAGGGGCAGAGCATGCCCTCTTAGGGGATGCCATCCTCCCAGCATCTTAGTGTGTTTACCAGCCTGGAAGCTCTCTGAACCCCGTTGATTAGGGGTTTTTATGGAGATTTTATTACATAGGCGTGATTGATGAAATCATTGGTCATTGATGATTGAGCGCAGCTTCCATCCTACTAATTACATGGTTGGTACCTCTGGCTACCAGCCCCCATCCTGAAGCTATCTAAGGACCCTCCAGTAGTCACCTCATTAGCATAAATTCAGGTGTGGTTGAATGGGGCTCATATGAATAACAAAAGACATTTCTATCACTCAGGAAATTCCAAGGAGTTTAGGAGCCCTGTGCTAGAAACCTAGGACAGAAACCAAATATATTTCTTATTATACCAATCTTGTATGGCCCTATGTATTGTCTAGTTTAACCTAATTGCCCAGCGTTTTTTTTGACACTCAAATCTGTCTGCCATGTCCTTTAGAACTCATTCTCTCATAAGAAAACTCCCCTTTATCCTCAACTTTTTTTTCTAATGAAATATGGCTGATGCTTAAGGATACTGTTTTTGCTCAAGCCTTCACAACTCTTTTGTTTTTTCCCCATACCTCATGTATCACAGATCCTAAAGGTTGGGGTAAGTGTTTTCTTTGCCCCTTTTAGCCACTTAAAGAAGTTTTTCATCTCCCTTACCTCAAAAACCTCAACCCATTTCAAGCATTTACCATCAGGCTATGTCACTTGACACCCTTCCTTGTTGCCACCATCTGCTGTCCCTTTAGTAGCTTCATTTGTTGAAGGTTTTGTAGCTGGCTTATTGTCTTTCTCCTCTTTCTACGGACGTGATCATTGATTTCAGCATCCACATGGTACAGTCCACAGTTAACCAGCCTCTTCACCTCTCTTCTTGATCTCACTTCTGACAGTCTTTTCTGCCTGACCTTAGGCACCTCTTCTCATGGTCATACCCTCATCGTTGTTATTACCAATGACTTCAGCACTTTCAAAGTCTTGGTTTCTGATGTTTCACTCTCTGACCACCACCTCCTTTCTCGTCAGCTTATTGATTTTAGTACACCCACTGCAACCATTCTTTGTTCCCTTCAAGACTTTTAATCCTTTGACCCTGCAGTCAGTTAGTAAAACTTAATGCTCACCAACTGCCACATGTCCTCACCCTCGCTCCTTACCCGGCTTGGGTTCCAGGAACATCACTGTCGTCATTCCTTTGAATACACCCATGGCCCCCTTGCCCTTCTTTCCTCCCCTCATGCTCCTCTAGTTAAATTGAGATCTCTTTTGGCAGGGCTGCCCCTGAACAGTGGAATGGGGCTAGAGGAACACATACCCATCTTAATTGGTCTCACTTGGGGCCCTCGGCACTCCCAGTAACCCCTTACCTTTCCCTCATCAGTGTACCCTCTCACCTCCTTGGAGGACTGCTTCATACCTTCTGTGCTCTCTGTAAAAACGTCAAAGCTCCTTCTCCTCACCTTCCAACTCTCAACTGATGACCTCGTCTCTTACTCTGCTGAGATAGAAGCAATCAGAAAAGAACTACCCCGTCTTCCCAGCACCAAATCTACCAAGTTATTCCTGTCTAAACCAACCCCACCCTTCTCTTATTGCCTGGCTCCTGTTCCCTCTAGTCTACACGAGGCCTTTGCTCTGCAGTTTCCCTCCCTCTCCTGTGTCCGTCATCGTTGTCTCCCACTGTACTGCGTCATTGCCATCAGCAGACAGACAAGTCTTGGTGTCAGCGCCCAGATTAAATGAATCCTCCCTGGACTCCATGGTCGTTCTCTGCTCTTATAGCTGCCTCCTCATATCTCTTTCATTCTTTTTAGTAAAATCCTTGGAAAAGTGATCTATACCCACTGTTTTCACTTCCTCATCTCCCATCTCTCTTGAACCACTTCAGTCAGATTTGTCCCCACCACCTCACTGAAACTGCTCTCGTTGAGGTCGCATAGTTCCCTGATGTATCATTCTCTGTGGAACAAGTTCATGTTTTTAAAACAAGCAGTGTAACAAAACTGATTGTACATGGGCATTCAGTCCCTGTTGAATGAATGAGTGTACTTTGGTCATACTGGTAGAGAATATATGTATTTATGCTGTTGTGTTATTGAGTTGAGGGACGTTTGACTACTTTTTCCCAACTTTTTTTTGTAATGAAATATGTATACCTGCAAGAGACCATATATAATATGGATGCAGGTGTAAAGAATGAACAGCCAAGTGCCCCTCAAAGCAGCTCAAGAAATAGACTATCAATAATATCTCTGCAGTGCCCGCCCTTGATGCCGTTGCCTTCCCCCAAGAAGTAACCTCTATTCTGAATTTTTTATGTTTTTTGCTGTAATTTTGCAGAATATTCTTTGTGCTCCAAGAGATCCTTAGGTTTTACACATTGTTATATAAATGTAGCAATACAATATATATTCTTTCAGAGATGTGTTTTCCCACTGCACAGTAAGTTTATGAAATTCATCTGTGAGATTGCATGAAGAAATAGTTCATTTAGTTTCACTGGTGTGAAGTATTATAGTATATGGACATAATACAATATATTCTTTCTACAATGAGCACGTTAATTATAAAAATTAACCGAAGCGTTATATACATACAGAAAAGTGCACAGATCCCAAGTGTACAGCTCAGTGGAGTATCACGAAGTGAATGTTACAAACCAGTTCAAGAAATAAAGCATGACCAACACCTAGAAGCCACCCTTGAGGTCCCCCCATCCTCCCAAAGGTCACCACCATCCTCATTTCTAATCCAGAGGTTGGAAATGTTTTTAAACTAATATAAATGAAACTGTACGGAATATATTCTTTTTAATTTGATTTATTTCCCTCAATATTATATGGGTACGATTCATCCCTGTTGCACATAGCTGTAGTTTGTTCATTTTCATTGCTGTACAGTATTCTCTTATGTGATATGCCACAATTTATCCATTTTATGGTTGATGAACATTTGGATTGTTTCCAGTTTTTGACTATTACAAATAATGCTGCTGTGAACATCCTTGTATGTATATATGTGCACATTTATCTTGGGTATATGTCTAGGAATGGAATTGCTCAGTCATAGGGTGGCTGCACCACATCTTATTTATCCATTCTCCTTTTAGTGGGTGATTGTGTTGGACTACCATGAAAATTTCTGTAAATGTGTCCTGGTGCAAAACTGACTGTAATAGGTGTTCAGTAGCGTAGATTCACAGGAGTGAAATTGCTGAGTCAGAAGATGTGTGTATCTTCAATTTTACCAGATAATGTAAATCGTTCTCCCGAGTAGTTTGTGCCAGTTTATGCTCTCACCAACAGAGTGTGCGTTCCTTGCTCCACATTCTTGCCAGCAGTTGTTATCATCTGACTTTAAATGTTTGCCAATCCAGAAAGTGTGTCCTGGTTTGTTGTGGTTTTAATTTGCATGTCCCTCATTACTAATGAGATTAAACATTTTTATTTGTTTATGGGCCATTTTTATTTTTAAGATTTAATTTTTTCTGCTTATTCTTTAGTGTGGAGATGTACTTTCCTCAGAATGACTCCTGGATTGGTTTAGCACCCCTAAACATTCCTCGCTATGAATTTGGAATATGTGTTTTAGACCAAAAAGTGTATGTTATAGGTGGTATTGAAACTAATGTGCGTCCTGGCATCACCATCAGAAAACATGAAAATTCAGTGGAGTGCTGGAATCCTGATACAAATACCTGGACTTCTCTGGAGAGGATGAATGAGAGCCGAAGTACCCTCGGAGTGGTAGTACTTGCAGGAGAACTCTATGCTTTAGGCGGTTATGATGGGCAGTCTTATTTACAGTCTGTAGAGAAGTATATTCCCAAAGTGAGGAAGTGGCACCCTGTGGCACCGATGACAACAACCAGGAGTTGTTTTGCTGCAGCTGTGTTGGATGGAATGATTTATGCCATTGGTGGGTATGGTCCCGCCCACATGAACAGGTATTTGCCTTAATCAAGTTGTATTGCTTGTAGATGTTTAAAAGTGTCATTAACAATGATTTCTGGGTTTTAAACAATTTGTGTATGAATGAACTTCCCTTTTTTAATTTTTAGAGTAATATTCATTGGCACTTGAGAAGTTTAATCCGCTCCATGAGAGTAATTGTAGTTATTTTATGTGAGGGGGTTTAATACAAACCTAAGAATTAAATCCCCCTCATTAAATTTTACATTCATTCATTCAATATAAATGGACTAGATTTTAAAATTCAGAAATCTGAAAACTTCAGATTTTGGGTGGTGTGTATATTTGTATATATATAAATGTGTGTGTGTAAATGGTTGGTTATTGCCTTGCTTAATAGAATAAAAAAGTGAAAAGTATAATTCCTATATGCTTACGCAGCATTAAAATGCATCATAAACTTAAAGCCTGATTTAAATATTTCTTTCTGGATTCTTATTCAGTAATCATACATGTATCGTTATGTATCTGAGTTGTACTGGAGTCTGAATTTGAGATTTCTGTATTTTGTAGTAGTCTGAATAAAGGAGAAATATATATGAGAGAAACAAAAGTATAGAGTGGCTGCTTATATGGAAAATTAATCATAATTCTGAACCTTTGTTGAAAATTGATTCTTCCTTTATCTCTACCAGTAATTAGAGTGATAGGTGTTTCGATTGTGAGCATTTTAGTGAAAGAGTATATTGTGGTTTGTTAACTGACTGAGAAACTAATGACACAACAAACAGCATTTCATCTATAAATTTTTATTTCTGTGTAAGCAAAAGTATTGCCCCTTTTTGTTGCTCCCTTAGTCGAAGGAAAAGTATCTGGGGCCCAGACATGCATTTCTCTTCTTTGAAAAGCTGCCAGAAGAAATCTCTAAGATAAAATGTTATGTATTTTAATTTTGTGATACTGCTCCTGAGTTTAAGTTCTTGCCGCAGTGTATCAGCTCCTCTGGTCCAGTGATTTTTGCTCTGGTGTTTTTCATCCTGGTGTCCTTTCAGAAGCAGAGTTCATCTATATTCCGGTCTAGTCTGCAGTCGAATCTCTATTCTGAACTCCAGATGGCGTCACTGACTCTCAGATGCTGTGGGCTTTTTTGGAAGGGAGGTTGGGACCAAAACCAGCTAAACGTGCTCGCCTTTGTGCCCCTCAGAGCGAAGCATAGTAAAGGCCTTCTGGGATTTTCTAGGGAAGCTTTTTTCTGGAATTCCGATTTGATTTGGATTTCTGTAATACAGCTTGGAAATGCCAAGGGTTCTCTGGAATCCAGACTTGACTTAAATCCCTGAATTCTCTGAAGTCACTCTGACATGGTGATGATTAGCCAGTTTGTGTTACAAGATCTGCGGTGTTTGCTTTGTGGTAAACCACTGTGACTTCTCTGTACGAAAAACAGAGAAGTTTTTCATCTCTTCATCTTCCCTTTTCCTTAGCTGTGTAGAAGATCCTTAGTGTCCTTAGAAAACGTCTGTGTTCAGTTTGGGGTTTTCACAGTCTTTTCACGTGCATACTCACTTGACTTTATTCTTACATGAATCCTTTGAGGTTCTGTTATCCCTGTTGTTGCTGGTGAGAGGAGATGACTTATCCAGGGTCACGCAGATCCAGAGTGGGAGGCCTGGAGTTCATTCAGCTCTAGGGACGCAGCGTTAGTGCTTACACCCAGGTTTTCTGACTAAAGGTTTTATGCCCTTAATGTACCTTGCTGCTTGTGCAATACAGTGGAAAAGCCTATGGCTGCTGGTGCACGTAGTCCAAAGGTAAGCTTTTATCCCTGCAGTTTTATCAGCAAAATCTGGACATCTAGGACAAACCACTCTTGTTTTATATCCACCTATGTATTTGAACTTTTAAAACTGTGGTGGGTTTTAGTTTTGCTTTAGTGGGAAGAATAACACGAAGGCTATGTGAATTAATTCTTTCTTTTGTGAACATTTGCAGTGTGGAGCGTTATGATCCCAGTAAGGACTCCTGGGAGATGGTTGCGTCAATGGCAGATAAAAGGATTCACTTTGGTGTGGGTGTCATGCTAGGCTTTATTTTTGTGGTGGGTGGACACAATGGCGTCTCACATTTGTCAAGCATTGAAAGATACGACCCTCATCAAAATCAGTGGACTGTGTGTAGACCGATGAAAGAACCCAGGACAGGTAATAATAACTTACTGATTTCTAAACATATAAGACAATATTTTTTATCGTAATGTCCTCAGAAGAGTAGTTTCTTAGAATATAATAGAAATAGTATTACCTGCCCAGAAAAAGTAACTGTTTTGTGGCAAACTTAACAGACAAGTAAATTAGAGAAAACCATCTGATTTCTTTACTGTGATTTGATTATGCCGGTGTGCATATCATCGTTTCTTAAACTTGGGGAACACATTTTGAGAAATGCTAGTCGTAGGATATATTGTGTAGAAGCTCCTTTTGTCCATATAACAAATGTCATTTTATATGTTCTGTCACACATGCACACAGAATTCTTGGATGTCCTGTTTTCTTTTTTAATATACATAAGTCTCTGTTCACTTTCAAATGTTCTCTCCTCCTCGAGGGGGTATAGTTGATCAAGAAGGGGTCGGATTTTGGGGTTCCTAGAGGAAACATACATCTGAGGAAAAGTTGAAATTTCTTTGAACCCGAACTCAAATTACGTTATTTTAAGGCAAAGGTTTTCAGTTTAACTGATGGGAATGCTTTAGGGGTATTCCTTGCATTTATGATTAAAGAAACTCCTAAAACATAAACTTTCAAAGGAAACTGAAAGGACAAAATGGAGTAAACTATTTTAGTTGTTTACTGTAGTTAGTTTCTGTGGTATCGTTGAGGGGGAAAGCCATAAAACAATGAGAATGTAGAAAATTTGGGTAGCCTTGTTCTTTTTAGAACTATATATATAAAATATGTAAAGTCGAATTTTTGAAGTATAATTACATGGTTCAATATATATTTCAAATATTTCAATATATTTGAAAACCTGATAAAAACAGAGGGTTTCTTTAAAAATACGTGTGAATATAAATTGAGAAGAAGGCATATGGAAAGCTACATACTCCGTTCTTAGTCGTATTTTCCTATGGCGGAGAAGAGGGAAGGTAGGATTAGGAGGAGAGACTTCAACTCTTAATTTTATGTTAAGGGATTTTTTTTTCCTTAAGCATATATTGCTATATTGCTTGTATAATTAATAGGTTGTTGAAATGTATTTTAAAAAAACATTATGATACAAATTCATACATTTTTAGTAGGAAGTCTGCTTCGTGGTTAACATATTTTTTCCCCGTTTTTACCCACTTTTTCTAGGCGTCGGTGCTGCAGTAATTGATAATTACCTTTATGTAGTTGGTGGTCACTCAGGGTCTTCCTATCTGAATACTGTGCAGAAATATGACCCTATCTCAGACACGTGGCTGGATTCAGCTGGCATGATATACTGTCGCTGCAACTTTGGATTAACTGCACTTTGACCACTGTGGACTGTGGAAACAGTGGGTGACGGACCTTGTGCCACGTGGAAGGATGCCCAATTTTCTGAAACCCAAAGGCTGCATTGCTTTGCTTTTAACTTGAAATAGCATGAAGACTCCCAGTTTTGTTGGGTACTTTGAACTGACAAGTAACTGGTTGCTCTTGATTACACAGTGAATCAATAATCAAAAAAAAAGAAAAGAAAAGGAAAGATCTTGCCTGTTGAATTGTGCACTTTTTTTCCCTAATGCTGGGATAGAGTAGTTTTATGTTCATAAGTGTACATATGGAGAAAACCTTGCTGCTTTTCTGTTTTTCCCCTTTTAGCTCTCTCCCCACTCCTTGATGTGCACCCTGACCTACTAGGATGAGAGATGCGAAGATGCTGTAGTGTACTGAATGACTGGACAGAGTGCTGATCCTGTCTGTTGGACGTGAATTCCTATGCTTCACACTTTAAATAAAGGGCTGCTTTTTTTCTGGTACTTTTAAGGGTTGTGAATTACATGCCGCGGTGAGTCACTCGGATATTTTTCCTGCTAAATGGCTTTAGAGCAGGGAGTATAATAAGCTTGCAAGACAAATGCTTTTACTATTGTGATATTTGGGGGCCTATTTTAAGAAGTCACCTGCTTACTGTTTATGCCTTTTTTATATGGGCGGGTTAATGCCAGCGCAGGTTAGTCACCCATCTGTGCTATGCTCAGCATGGATAGAAAGAGTTAAGCATATCAGTTTCAGTTTGATTTTCTTTAGTAGTACAGCAGGCTCCCAGTGTTGATGTAAATATTTGACAAATGTTTATTACCACCCTTATTGTGTTTTGATTTTTCCTATATCCTTATAATAATTTTAGTTTTTTAAGACCTTCGTTTGCTTTCTCAAAGTGTTCAGATATAAAAATGGTGCTAACCGTAGGGTCTATAACAAGGCTATAACAATTTTCTTTTGAATGTTCAGTATGAGATATGCATGACATGTTTTGATAGTATTTTTCATTTTTACTGGCTTGTTTCATTTGTGCTTATTAAAAATGTTAGTGATTATACTAATGTTAACAGCCAAAAATAATCTAAATGGCCTGTGTTATGCTTTTGATGGTTCCCAAAGTAGTGATTTAAAGAGACACATTTTTAACCTTCTTTCTTTTTGCGCTAGATATTATGTGTCCTTAAAAACAGAAATACGTGCATTAAATATAAAGCACTAGGCAGTTATGCATCACTCTGTACATTTCTTAGGTAACTGATTATTTTAACATTATTGGAAACTGGAACTCAATGTTTACTTGAGTAATTATTCTAAATTCGATTCTACTTTGACTAAAGAAATGATCTTTTAAAGCAAAATTGTTTGCTATAGCCAAGTGACAGCTTATTTAAAAGAAACTGTTAACTCCTTTTGTTTAGCATGTTTTAGTAAAGCCTGATAGTCTTGACACGTTCCTTTGCATCTTATTAGGATGGTCGGAAGTGCTTGTATTTTTGGTACTGTAGTCACTTTGTTTTCTTTTCCTTGATTTTTTTTTTTTACCTGCCCACTGTCTCTTCATAGGCTCTGCAAAACTGGTGTATATTTGTTTCCTAAGAAAAAATTCATACTGCATTCTTAAGTGCCATGATGGTCTAAACTATTGTTAAGAAGCCATTTGTAATTATAAAGCATAGGCTCATCTGTTAGCAAATATGTTATTTCTTGAAGACTCTCTATAGCTGGGAAATTGGCAGTTGTCCTTGTTCTTCCATAAACTGCCAGTTGTAGATTTAAATATATGCTACAAATCTGTGTAAAATCATCTTTAACCTTAAAAGTAGTATTATGCTTTATGAATATTTGCACAGATTATAAAACCTTGCAAGTGATTTTTAGTCTCTTCTAATTAAGTCAACAGAAGCTACTAATAAAATTGAAAGGCTGAGTATTTTCTATGTTGCTTGTTTGACTAACAATGATATATAGCAATAACTTTTTAATTAATTTGAATAAAATCTATTGAATACAAACAAGGTGCACTATTGTGATTGGCCTAGACTTTATTTAAAGAAAAGCAATTTAAAATAGATTTATCACATACTTAATTTTAAATCCCCAGCCCAATTTTCTTTCTGTTTATGTCAGTCAAATTGTTAAATACGTCCTATTACAATATTTTTTAATCCCCTCTCCCCAGAAGATAAGGAATTTGAAAGACTATAGAAATTTATTTTAATTGTAAACAGATCTATACATTTTATTTTAAAAATGTTTTACTCGTGTATCATCACTACTATCAAATTAGTATAAAATATATAATCATTTGGTAATTTAGACCAAAGGCATATATTGATCATTGGTTTGGAAAAATCTAAATTTCATCTTGGTGAAGACTAAATGTGAAACATTTTGGGCAATAATAAGAGCCACAGCCAAAGGACAGATTATGAAAACCTGTGAAAAGAAGAGAAAAGGCCCCCAAATTTAGAAATATTTATTTTTTGTTTGCAAACCCTCCTGTAGTGTTTTCCACAACCAGAGGTATTGTGACCTGACGACGGATAACCTTACTGTAGAGCCTTCTCGTGCCGTTCGTGAGAAGTTTCATCACGAGTACATTGCTGAAAGGTTATGAGTTTAAAGCCACACGTTTCTTACATTAGAAAGGATCAAAATATTTTACTGTAAATTCCCAGGGCTCAAGATATTAAAAATAATTTTATATACTCAGGCAAGGAGGAGGAAGCTATTTAAGACTGCCCAGAAATATTTTGGAAAAACCTAACAGTGGGAAATAGAAATTAGTCAAATCAGTTGGAAGATAATTGCCTTCTATAATTATGTTATGAAAACTTAATTTGCTAGAAATGTTTGGCTATTTAATATTTGTTGAATATAGTAATAGACAGTGATTTCTAATGTAGCCCAAAGGACATTTAAATAAGTTCCATATGTTATTGCTGATATTGTTATAAATATGAAGGAATATTAAATTATAGGACATGGCATCAAGCGATAGGAAAATGGCATTAGGTTTTAAAAAATTATTTTCATAGCTTGACAAGTATGGAGGGCCTACTATATGTATGAGATATTGTGCTGCATGCTATGGGGGCTGGAGATAGAAATAAAATTGTCTTTTGACTCAAAGAATAGAATATAGTGAGAGAGACCTATGCCCAAATGACGGTGAAGTGTGACTCTAATTCTGTACCTCCAACATCATCAGAAGTGTGAGAGACCCAGTTTATGTATAAACATTTGTATCCTTTAGTGTCCAGTTAGGTTTTATTGACATGAAAAAGAATGATAAAAAACCTAATATTTATAGAACTCCAAATTTCCTGTAATTGGATAATATATTCTGTAGTAGAAAAACAAAATTGTAGAAACTTTAAAAAAATTATGTACCCCATGACCAAGGCTCTGGCTAACATTGAAGGAAATGTATGTACATATAATGCCGTGTTTGTTTTCAGTTTTGGTGTTGGATTTCTGGTATTGTCACCTAAGTGCTCATTTTCAGGAAAATCAGATTCTACAATAAATATACTGCTTAAAGTTCAGTAAACTTGTGATAACCTCTATAACCTCTGTAGTCTGAAAGTTAAGAAATTATAAGATGTCAAATGTCAAGTTAACATCCAGTTCTACTTCTTAACCCTTTTTTCTTTGTAGACAGCACTTTAATTTAGACGTGATTTAATTAGATGCGATTGTTCTGTGGCTGGATATATATTGGATTTTCACTTTACGATATATTAATTCAGTGTTGATACATGTTTGAAAAGACTGAGGAATACAGTAAGTTTTAAATACAATAGGTTTACAAGTTTTCTTACTGATGTGAATATGGAGTCAAATAAAAATGCAGTTTACATCTCTGCGGAGAGAAGAATTGTTATCCATATGTCTTTTATATTACACATATTTAACTAGAGATAATTTATTGTTAATTTTGTCAAGTTATCATGTGTAAGTCCCATTTATTTTAAAATACTAAGCAAAAAGTTCCAAGTTTGCCTTAAAATACAAGTGAAATTAAAGAACTGGATGATAATGCCTATATTTTTGCCTTATGAATTGTGCTGTATCATAAACCAGAGATGGTTTTGATTTTAACAGGATTCTGAAATTTTGTAGAGTACTAATATTTGTACTCTTGCAAAGAATGTGATCTAGTTGTGGATTATGTTAACGTTTAAGTGTTTTTGTATATGTATTTTACCTCTGAATATGTATCTTTTTAGCATCAGGGTTTTATTTTATTTTTGTTTACATAGTAAAGTGGCATTTAACTTGTTGAAGGTTGTATTCTTTTGTCTTTTATTTGAAGAATTCTTTGTGTGTAATATTGTGGTAATGCTCTGTAATGACTATGGTTAAATTTCATTTAATGTGAAATGTTTAAAATAAATTCGAAAACCTTGACTTTGCTTGTGCCGGTTGTCGTGAACTGATCCAAGCTAACTGTCCTGCTCAGCTCTTTGCTTCTTTTTGGTAGGTGAATAGTGGCCACGAGAGCTGAGGTGGTTGTGGGATAGCCACTCCTTTAAATCCTCATTACCAGATTATAATGTGGCTAAGTTCTGCCACACGTTCAGACACTTAGTAAAGAAACATTCATTAGAAAAGCAGGCACGAAAGAGTTCAGTAAGTAAGTTCAGTGCAGTCCGGCCTTTCTATCCTTGTCTGTTCTCTAATCAACCTTCTAAGAGGGGTTTACTTGACGCAGACGAGGCCACTTTCCAGAGGCTTCTGCTGCTTACATGGCCGGCGTCAGGTAACCAGCCGTCTTTCCAGAGGAAGAGCTGTACCCGAGGGGTTGAGCCCCAGGTGCCGTCTCTAGGGAGGCTGTAAACTGCAGGCCTGGATCGGTTCAGATGTCCTGTCCGTACAAGGGGGCCTGGATCGGTTCAGATGTCCTGTCCGTACAAGGGTGGAAGTGTCTCGGATTTTTAGACAATACACATATCTTGAAACTCTTGAATTTAACCAGTAGTGATACCGACCCTGGTATCACTTTCCCCACATTAAACGCAGCATATATGGGGTTAAAACCAAAACACTCATTCCCTGCTTACTCTCTGGCTTCCTGCCTCCAGAATCCGCTATCCTCCATGGAGACAGACACCATCAAGGACAAGCACCTGGACTATCTCCTCCCCATAAAGAGATACAGACTGGTGGGAAAGCTGCTGACCAGCAAGGTCACAGGCTTCCTCCTCTCTGCAAGTAGTCTCAAGGCCGAAGACAGGCTGGTGGGAAAGCTCTGACCAGCAAGGCCATATGCTCCCCCGCCCCTACCTAAAACCCCAAATAAAAACCCTTCCTCTTAGCTTTTCGGGGAGTTTGGGATTTGAGCGTTAGCTGCCCTCTCTCCTTGCTCAGCGCTGTGCAAAAATAAAGTTCTTACTTTCTTCCACCACACCCGGTGTCAGAGATTGGCTTGCTGCGCAACGGGTGAGCGAACTCACTTCAGGTTCGGTAACAGTAAGAGCAACTTTTTGATATCGTGCTACTGTGTGAGCCACTATTCCCCAGTAAATGTCCCTGATATTTAATATTTTAATTGGCAAAACATTGGATGTTGATTTGGGGCTGCCTTGAGTGCGGGTTTCCTGGTTAGAATCCCTCGGCTGCATTCTTAATGAGGGCAACTCCTAGAGTGAAGTAGAAACTTAACAGATACACGTTGAAGTGTTTAAAGTATTGTGTTTAAAATATGCAAATATGTACTTGAGAGTACATATTAATATAATTAAGATTTTTTTTAAATGTAGAGATTTGCCGTATTTTATCTGAAGTTGTGTTTTTTTATTTATTTTTATTTTTTTTTCCTTTTTCTCCCCAAAGCCCCCCGGTACATAGTTGTATATTCTTCATTGTGGGTTCTTCTAGTTGTGGCATGTGGGACGCCGCCTCAGCGTGGTTTGATGAGCAGTGCCGTGTCCGCGCCCAAGATTTGAACCAACGGAACACTGGGCCGCCTGCAGCTGAGCGCGCGAACTTAACCGCTCGGCCACGGGGCCAGCCCCAATTAAGATTTCTTGACTGAGTGGATGCCTTTGAAGTTCTGCTGCTTAATTCGAAGGCATGTGCGGATAGCTTTCACGTTACCCAGAAGTCGGAAAACCCGTCAGCCGGCGGTTGAGAGCTTGGTGTGTGTGAGACATGGTGGAATGTGGAAAGGAGTAGCAAGCGCTGTTCTCCACTCTGCTGGAGGAATGAGAGACCCCCTTTTTTTTTTTTCTTTTTTCAGAGAAGGAGAATAGAAGAAATAGTGCAGCTCTGGCAGAGCCCTAGCTGTGCGACGTTTGTCCTTTAACAAAATTACTAGATGGTTCTCTTGTTTGGGGCCAGTGCAGTAATGGGAGTGGAAGTTTCAACTGTGATTTGGAAGGTGGTGTGGGGAGTGGATTGTAGGGGTTGGCAAAGGACTCACAATGGGATTCAAGGAGCTGCTCTAATGAAGAGCCCAAACTCAAGGCTAGGGGTACAGTTGAACTCTGTGAGAAGATAGTGTTACAACAGCTCAAGTGGGTTTTGATAGGTCTTCCAGGCTTTCTTTTTTTTTTCTGTTTAATAGAAATGGAATCTCCATGTACCTATCACCCAGGTTCAACAATCATTTTGCTAATCCTACATCGTCTGTTCACTCTACTTTTTTTCTGACTATTTTAAAGAGAATCCCAGACATGCAATATAATATGACTGGTAAATAATTGAGATTACATCTCTAAGTGATAAGGACACTTAAAAATTTCACTCTAAGCCACACTGATATAATCACACTTAAAAATTGATTACTTTTACAATGTTTAGTACACAGTCTATATTCAAATTTCCCTGATTGTTTCAAAAAAGTTTTTTTCTTGGTTGGTTGAGAAGGACCTAAATAAGGTTTCTATGTTGCATTTGACTGTTAGATCTCTAAGTCCCTTTCCGTCTCTACCGGTCACTGCCTCCTCCCCTCCTTCAGGCCATTTACTTGCTACCAAATGAGATCCTTTGGTAAATTGTCCCACATTCTAGAGTTGGCTGATTGCTTTTTTGTGGTATTGTTTAACTTCCTGTCCTATTCAAATTTTCTGTAAAATGGTGGGTTGGCTGTACAGTGCTGATTAGATTCAGGTCTTTTTTTTTGGCGAGCATAGTTGCTGCTGTGTATGCCTCCTGTATCACATCTGAGGACTGTCATGTCTGGTTATCCCACCTTTGGTGATGCTAACATTAACCGAGGTTTGGGTTCAGTGGTTGTCAACCTGATGCCTTCATTATCAATCCCCATCAAACTCTCACCTGATGGCTTTAGCAGCCATTGATGTTACGGCTGGATCCGTTACTATATGTAGTTGCAGAACAGTGACATTCTCCCTCTGCCATTCCTTCTGCATTTACTCCCCGGAACTGTATACAGGACAGCATTGCCTCGGCACTTACTTGTTTACCCTGAGATAAGGCCTATTCAGGAAAGGCTGGGGAAGTGTTCGAGTCATTCTTTTCTCAAGCTTTAGAGCGTGAAGTGGTGCCCAGACACCTCCAAAGGTGATCAAGTATCATGAACTTAGGATTTTTTTATACTTGTTTCTTGCTGGAAAATGGTAGGTAGAGATCCTGATGTTTGCTAGTGGCGCTTTCTGCTACTGCCTTATTGCTGCTGGACTATTCGATAAGCAGAGTCAGGGAATGCCTCCTTTTTTATTTTAAAAGAGAAAAGGGGCTTTTACTTAAATTCTTGGATTTTAATGTTTTTTTCTTAGCCTGAAAATCTTGGTTTCTATCAACATTGACATAGTAACCTATTTGATTTATCTTTCAAAATAACAATACTAGTATAAATAGTAAGACCAATGGTGCAGTTGAGTCCTTTGTGATTCTATTTTGTCCTTAGAATACATTTCATAAGGATAAACAATAAAAACTCTGGTTTGAGTCAAAGAAATATTTTTATTTGATTAAGGCATAATTGATTAAGGTACAGTTGAGTTATTTTAGTTCAGGCTTTAATTTTTAGGGATGTGCTTTTTGATTTAATTTTATTTTTTAATTATATAGAATATTTACTTGACCTCAGAGTTGAACTATATGAGAAGATGCATTCACAGGGGCTGGCCCGGTGGCGCAGTGGTTAAGTTCGCACGTTCTGCTTCAGCGGCCCGGGGTTCACTGGTTCAGATCCCGGGTGTGGACATGGCACCGCTTGGCACACCATGCTGTGGTAGGTGTCCCACATATAAAGTAGAGGAAGATGGGCACAGATGTTAGCTCAGGGTCAGCCTTCCTCAGCAAAAAGAGGAGGATTAGCAGCAGTTAGCTAGGGCTAATCTTCCTCAAAAAAAAGAAAAAAAAAAAAGAAGATGCATTCACAGATTTGTCTGCATTTCCATATCTTCCACTCTGTTCGTTTTTATTCCTCTGTAGGTAATCATTTTTATTAGGTGTTGGTTCCATTGTTTCATTTTGAAAATTATCCATTTTCTTACCAAAAAAGATAGCATATTGTAAAAACACTGTTTTTCAACTTTTTTTCACTGAATATATTCTGGAGATTATTCCATATCGGTTGTGGAGGCAATTCCTAATCCTTTCACCGTTGCAGTTTCAGTATATGCATGTTGGGGAGACACAGACCGACAGTCCGTAACATTGCCCAATTCTCTGAGGAGGTTGTACCATTCTGCATGCCCGTCAACAATAGACAAGATACATATAGGCTGTTTTTATTAGTTTACCTACTCAGGGTCTAATTAAAAGATAACACTTGGCCCCAGGTTCTTTTTGGCTCAAATTATGCCTAACATTAAAATATAATTAGGGGCCGGCCTGGTGGCACAGCGGTTAAGTGCACGCGTTCCACTTCAGTGGCCCAGGGTTCGCTGGTTCCGATCCTTGGTGCAGACATGGCACCGCTTGGCAAGCCATGCTGCGGTAAGCGTCCCACGTATAAAGTAGAGGAAGATGGGCACAGATGTTAGCTCAGGGCGAGTCTTCCTCAGCAAAAAGAGGAGGATTGGCAGTAGTTAGCTCAGGGCTAATCTTCCTCAAAAAAAAAAAAAAAAAAATATATATATATATATAATTAAAGAAATGAAAAGGTTCTTATTTTTGGTGTACATGAAAATCCACTGTAAAGCCCTTATGAGTACAGTAGGATCTAAATAAGGATGGTCCCATCACTTTTGTTGTCCTGATCAGGAAGAAAGTCTTGGAAGGATATGCTGTGTGTCCCCTGAGGAGAGTCAAGTTTAAATAGGCAGAGGTCCTAGAATCTAATAGTATAGGTGGTTCCCAATGAATAGAGGACTATGTCTCAAAAAGTTTTAGAACCAGATGGCTGATAAACTATTTTTTATCAGTAATAAAACAGTATCTGGTGGATAAACGATTTTGAGGAGCAACAAGATGTGATGTTTCATGATTATTTATTA